GTAGAGAATACGAAGAGTTTTATATTTTCCATTTAAATGCATGAGTTTGTAAGACAGCATTAGCTTTTGTGTATCTACTGAAACGTACCAGGATAATATGGATAACTTTTTAATGTCTTATTTGGCTTTTAGTTTATATTTTTTTGATTAACGGGTAAATTAAGAACACAATCAATTGTTTTCTTAATTTACCCGTTAAATTGTTTGACGATTGTGTAATCGTAATTGTCTACCTCAATGTACAGTTATCTCATTGCTGTTAAATAACATGTAAACAATAACAAGTGCAAGAAACGTGTGTCTTTTATACTTTGTCTTTTTGTAATCGTAAACCATATAATTTCTCACGCAGTGAAGTACTTTGGTAATTATTTTAAAGATGTTTAATGAGGGAATTTTCGTTAAATGTAAATAACTACCTGTTGCCCGCTACTTCGTCATCTCAATATTAAGATAAAAAGTAGCCCGTAATATGCCCGTCTATGTTAGCTACCCTTCAGTGAAAGGCCGGTCGAAATCGGTCGAGCCATTTCGAAGATTACCCGGAACAAACGCAGATTGACAGACAAAAAATTAATAAATGCGATTTTCGTTTTCACTAACGCAAAAACATCATCTTCTCGAAATCTGGGATTTTTCTTTTGATATTAAAAATAGGCACATCAATTTTATTATATGTATAGATATTAAAATATGTTGCTATTTGAATATGCACGATTAATTTAACGCGCGCCTGAATTTCATTAGACGTTAAATAATGACCGTGTATACAATGTGAAATTAATCAACACATACTCGAGGCCCGACGTAAGCGTGTAATATACGCGCCTACACCGCGAGGTATTTGCTTACACCCTGCGGATCGACGATAAAGGGAACACACCCCCACGGCGGTGAAAAGGGTTGTATACGTTCCAAAACTTCCATCTACCAAGTTTCCTCTAACATTACAAGACGTTGCCTGTAACTGCGTGAAAATAATTGAATTAATAGTATCTATGTTGTAGATCGTAATCTATGTTCCTAATAACATCTAGATATATTCACCCGTTGTTAATAAAGTAACAAACATCCACGCATATAAACTTTCTTATTTATTTAGAAAGATTGTGTAAAAGATTGTTATTAAATAAAGTCTACAGTTTATATACTTGTAGTAAATAAAGTAAAACGTCGATAACACTAACGGAGGCACAATTGAAAGCGGGGCCTATGTTTTACGGGTTCGCCTCTCGAATCATCCCCCGGGAACCATTACGCCGTAGACGCTTTGTTCGCTTTACGCTGAAACGATTTTTAGAAAATTGTAAGCGCTCTACAAACCCACTGCGAACGCTTATTTTTTATGTACTCGTTTACGTTTTATTTTGGTCGTAAAATAATATATTTCAATTCCGCGGTACTTTTAGGGGAAAATGTAATATTTATATAAAATCTTCCTTTAAATTTTGAATTTCATATTTCACGTTTTGTTGCAACACAAAAATTAAATTTTTTTACAGTGCCAACTACTTCAATTATAAAAAAAAACGCTTAATTTATAACGCTTTACTTATTAAGACTAAGCGACAGCTTAAGCTCAGTGAAAGTGGGACATTCCTGGAAGGTGCCGGGGAGTATTAACCCCTTGTCCTAGACTACTAGGTATCGTATTTATGAGTCTAAAGCTACCAGTAACTCAAATTGAATTTGGAACAGTGGAACACAAGCTCAAATAAAATATATGGTAATTAATAATAATAGTGTAATTTAATAAATCAAATACGCTGTATGCAGTCTAATGTCGATACCAGGTTTGTACGACCCGCATTCTCTTGACCTTCTTTTGCAGCTGTAACATGGCGTAAAGCAGCGCCTCCGCCGAGGGCGGACAGCCTGGCACGTAGATGTCCACCTGGGGACATTTCAACACGTTTTAGTTTAAACAAACACAAAAACCTTTAACAACGAATTGCAGAACGAAAACAACAACGATTTTCTGCACCTCCATACATAGTTTTTAAAACACATACACTCACTTTCAGTTTATTGTTTTTTTTTTTTAAATATTAATAAGTTAATCTCATCTTTTTTGTTCTATATTTAATGTAACTTTTCGTTAGTTATCATTCTTATGATTTACGATTGTTTTATAACTTACTAGCTTTCACCCGCGACTCCGCCCGTGTGGTATTAAAACAAATCAAAAGGGTAGCCTATGTGTTTTTCCAGACTATTCTCTACATCTGTACCAAATTTCATCGAAATCGATTCAGCCGTCTAGGCTACGAACTCTAACAAACATCCATCCATCTAAACTTTCGCATTTACAATATTAGTAATATCCGTTGGTGTACTTTATACATAAACAAATTTTACACCTCTCTATCGTTCATCTCCATCATTTATTCTACAATGTTTTACGTACCGGTACGATGCGGTCTGCCCCTCGCACTGTAGAGTACGTGTAGTGGTAATAACCACCACCGTTTGCGCAACTTCCCATGGACACGACCCATCTAGGCTCCGGCATCATGTCGTACGTCTTGCGAAACACGGGCGCCATCTTGTTGGTGACCGTGCCCGCCACGATAATGACGTCGGTCTGACGCGGCGAACCCCGGAACACCATGCCGAAACGATCCATGTCGTATCTGGACAGAGTACCATCTTCGTAGTATTGGTAGCAAATGAGATTCCTATTTTGTAGTGATTTAATCGACTAAATTGCTACAGTATTTTAGATAATAGGAAGCATTTTATTGTCTTATATCCACAACTATTGCTTTTGGAAAACTTTAGACAGCAACTTCTAAACGTATACTAAGCGCGCATTGTTGAGCACAGGTTATTGCTATCGAATACGCAGTCTGTGTAGTAAAAAAATATTAGAAACGCGTCTTGCGGTCTCCGCAATAGTGTTGCAAAAAAATGTAATCTAGAAATAAGATTTTATTTTTATTTATTTTATCTTTGCAAATAAACCTTCACATTTATGACAAAAGGGTAGTGGATATAGTTAACAATGTAAGGTAATTGACTCATAACTGGGGATGTCACCTCTTCGACTTTTACCTGAATTGTTTAGTTTGGCAAGATATAAATTCAGGATAGCGTTCGTATTTTCCCGTCGACGTCGTTTATTGAAAGTTGGCATTCCCAGCGTTTTCATGGGTATTTTTTTTTACCTGGGTGCCGCATAGTGCATCATCTCAAGTGCGCAGCAGGCTAGGCCGAAGGTTAGCGGCCACAAGGATCGGCTGCGGCCCCAGTTAAGGATGTCGTCCATCCGCGCTACCATCCACTCTGCCCGCGTCTGCAACAAATGATGAATTTCCACTGACGAAACATTTGTTAAAAACAATATCATCCATTTTTTAGAACACTGTTGTCACAAGAAATATTTTCCTTATATTTATACGATCGTATACAAGCTCTTGGGATATTTCTGATCGGATCAGAACTGTCCAATAACTCGTGTCGCGGATCTCGTGAGATACCGATCTCCCCACGTCGCGGCTTACATCGACTTTACAAACATGTACGGATTGATGTGTTTGTCGGAAAGTCACGACATTTGGCGACCAGGAAATAAGAAAAAGCTTATGGTAATTTATTCAATCTGCCGTAAGTAGGGTTTTAATATTTACTTAATCTCATATTTTTTTACAAACTCTGAGTGCAGAAAGTTTCAAATTATGTGTAAGTTTTAAAAGTTTATTGTGTGAAGTGTGAAGTTCGCAAATTGGTATTATGTTTTTCTCTACTAGTTCTTTGTAAATTCCTTCACTAATGAGTCTTTTAAATCGAACGCTAATAGTGTAACGACCAGACTTAACTAGGCTCAGACTACACGACACCGTTTGCTAATTGAGCCACAGAAACCAATGTAGTGCGCAATCGGCTTCCATTTTATTACAATAATAATAAGGTATTATGTTCTCATTAATAAAATCTTATACTTCGTTATTATCTAACATCAGATGTTATGATATCCTGGTACTTTATATTTTATTCTAAAGACAAAAGTATAATGTTTTCTCTACATTATTTACGTTTGCTTAAATTATTTTTCCATAACTCTTCGTAAAATATAACAAAAGCCTTCTGCATAGCGGTTTAAATGTTTCCCTCATTAAAACTTTATTTAACATAAAACGTTACTTGTTGAAATAAAATAAAAAAGCTACCAACAACCATAGAGAACCAAAATGTGCGAGCGTTTCTTTTTAAATATTTCCACATTTTGAATTTTTATCTGTGCAAAATATTTGTACAGTTTAAAGTGGAAAATGCGCTTGGTTTGCGAACGATACTCAAACCCGCGCTACATTTATCTTTTTTATCTATTGAATAAACAACTTTGTTTACATTGAGATTGTTAGGTGCATAATAGAAAAGTTATTTATCTGACTCCATAAATGATGATTTTTTAAAGATTATGAACAACAATTTTATGTTAAGCTATATGTGTGTATGTGATAAACTGCAGACACAAGCTTGATGTTAATTGAGGGAGTCCCTTAGTGAAGGTTTCGCATACTTTAACGTTATATAGTCTATGTTACTTAATGATGTAGTTTATAGCGAAAGTATTTTTGAAATCAGTTCAGTAGTTTCGGGGCATATTTGATGTAAAGAATCAATTCCTTTTTAGAATAGTATAGATATGAAAACTTTTACCTGTCCCGGAAAATGGAATGGAGAATATGGTCTTTTTTCTCCGACTTTATACACTTTTTCACCATGAGTTGGTACAGGGGGTACCTTTACAGTCTTTGGAGTTGATTTTGCATCGCTTTTGTACCTCACTCCCATGTCTTTCTCTTCATATACGTTACGTCCGAAAATCTTATTCCATGTTACAACTCCAGAGCCATTAGGAACAGAAAAGAATTTGAAAATAAGGGAATGGTTTCGAGCGCTACTGGAAATTGAATTTCTTTCAAAGTTTTATTATGAAACTCGGGGAAACGAGATTTTGTTCGTTATTTGAAGATAATGAAATAGAGAGGATTTTCTAGGCTTGTTTGAAAGTTATTGGAATTGAATAAAGCAGTAACTATTATGCATAAACTAGCTTTGTGTTTTTTCTTAAAATAGCTATATAATCTACCTATTTGTCACATGTAATTAACACGCTAAAAAGCAGGAACCAATTAAATTTCAAGTTGAATAGATCTGGTTACTATAATTATCTGTCGTAATTATTTAAATATATCTAACAAAAACATACCCATATAAAGTAGGCTTAAATACATCTAAGATATTCATATTATTTCTACCGAATATTTTTAACATTTTACAATCAAAGCCAGTTGTTATTTTTTACCAATTTAACATCCCTTCAAATAATTACGAGTGACAGATTGTCAATTTGCCCGTTGACGTCTTGACGTGACGTTTGACTTTCGTTCTGAATTCGAAAAAGATTTACAATAAAAAAGTTTACAATACAAAAAAAATCGTACTAAAATAATCTTTTTAAACACTAACTCTTAAATAATATTTTACAATAGCTTTGGCCCGAGACTCCGTCCGCGTGGAATTAAAAAAACCAAAAGTGAGTAGCCTATGTTTTCTTCCAGGCTATCCTCTACGTCTGTGCCAAATTTCATCGAGATCTGTTCAGTCGTTTAGGCTAGAAACTCTATCAAACATCCATCCATCCATCTATCCATCTAAACTTTCGCATTTATAATATTAGTAAGAAGTAAGATTTTATTAAATGTTTTTTTTAATTAGGTATTTGTTTTTTTTATGTTTTAAAAAGCAACTATGTCAAGTGTAACAAAAAATAGAATCATACGCTACGTTCAGCTACAGTTTAGGTCGTTTAAAGGTTTTCCCGGCCCTTGTCCTAGTTTTCTGTTTCGAGGACATTTAGCCAGTTCCGGAATTTAATTTGCAACATTCTTCCACTGCTGTATTTAAAGTATTTTTTTTGCACTTGGAAGTTTTGATGTAGTTACTGCCTGCTGGTTTACCTTAATATTAATTACGGTATATTCTATATAGTTTAATTTTAAATAAAAATATGCTACGGAATTGTATTTAAATTTATTTGCGAATTCTTAGCAAGTATAAATAATATTAAAACTTTTCCGCTTTAGACGGTATTCCCGATGTGGGAATAATATCTCTCCGATTCGATTTTCTGCAGAATATATTGAAAGTCGGCTCGAGTTTTACGAAGAAGTCGTTCCCTAGACACTTTAGTATAACTAGATGCTTAGAATACAGAGATTTATTGTACATTTTCCCGCGATTACGAGGAACAGAGGACCTTCACCTTGATGAATCTTTCTTAAATTTATTTTTAAGTAATTTCTTCTTCTTCGTTTCGTCATTGCTGAAGGTCGTGCTTACCCTGATAAGCCTTTACTGAGTCATCGACCAGCTGCCTCCACGCCGCCGTCTTCGGCTCGTCTCAGGGCAGTTAGGATGTTGTCCCAGTATGGACTGAAGCTGATCGGTCTATTGGGTTGGTGAATGGTCCCGTGACCTTTTGCCTTTAAGTAACTAAAGTAGATTAAATCCTAATGAAATTATAATCAGAAGTATTATTTTAAAAGTACTTAGAAATACAATCTTTTCGCTTAGCTACTTTTCTTTAAGCCTGTAACGAAATCCTGAACGTAAAACTTTCACATTTTTTGCTGCGAGACTTGGTATTTGTAAGTAATGGCTAAGGTAACCAACTCTATGTTAAATGTAAAAGGCGAAAATTTAATAAATGTTAACAAGAAATCAATAATTTTTAAAGAATATGTAATTAAAGAACACGGTTGAACTGATTATTTACATAACGAGTGTCTTTATTTATTACGTTTTTACAAATATAACTTAAATATCATTAAAATATTTGATGTTGCATGTATCTTGTGTAAGCTACACATCAATTGTAGTAGCAAAAAATGTCATAAACGTGTAATTTCCAAAAAAATATTTAACCTCGAAAAATAAGTTTATAGTCACCCTAACTCGAAGCTTTACTATTCCGAAGGCTTCTCCGCAAGCATTCATTATTCGCGACAGACGAGCAAGTTGCCGGGTTTTTTTTTACGCTGAAACTTGTTTTATTAAATCCCCCTTGAGCCTCTTCCTGCTAACGGAAGCCTTCGGGAGAACCTCCCCCTCGTAGGATACGTTTCAGGTCATAAAATTCAAACTAAGGCTTTACTGCTGACAAAATTTACTGAAGTTTAAATGAAGTCTTCAAAGTGGTTTAATAATATAAAATTATTTCTTAAAAAATTGATTATTTGAAATGTGTATTGTTCTCTTTAATAAAATATTTAAGTTTGTTATTTTGTAATGATTCACATATCCAAGAGTGGTGGAAAAAGGGGAAATATTATCGTGTTTATTAAATTTCTGATTTTTAGGTCGTTCACCATGAAATATTTCCAGCAGCTAGTAACCAAGCTATTATAAGTTAAAAGTACATAATTAATTTGATTAAATGTAACAAGACAAGTGGAAATATCTGCGAATCCTATTGGTGATAATGCCGCGAAGAATTCTATCTGCAAATTGACACATTTCTTATCGATAGGTAAGAAATGTAAATTTGCATAGAACGATAGTTCTATTCCCTTGGTATAGAGTCGGGATGCTCATTTAAATTTCTCTCAACTTCAAAGACTAAATTGGATTCCGTAGAGTTCTAGTTATCGGTTTTCGATCGTAGACAATAGACTTAACGAATAATTTGTTATATATTTACAAGAGACGTAACCTATACTATTATAATAAAGCGTAAACACACACTTCTTTGTTGCCTAAAATGTCAGCGATTACAGCATATTTTTGACTTTTTTTTAATAAAATCCCTACACGACGTAAGTGAATAATTTAAAAAATTTAAAAAATCCCTACACTAGATTTTTTAAATATTTAAACCCTAAGTTTAATGGTGTACAAACATATGTTTTTATATGGACATATGGATATGGACAAACATATGGATTTGACAAATGTAAACAATAAAGTAAAGTTTTTATTATTTCACGAGGATGAATCCGCACGCGAAAAGCTAGTTTTGGAAATAATAAGGGTTCCATAAACACGTATACGATTTAATACAACTGATACGGCAATGAAATTTTACGACAGTATAAAAACATTTAACTAAAACATTTAACTCCCCCTCTTCAGCCCTCTACTCGAAATTTAATTAAAAAGATCGGAGTATTTACGTTTGTTGGACAAAAGCCATTAATCTCTATAAGCCAGAACTGTAGGCGATTTCGATCGTCAGACGAATTAATGCCAATTAAACGATTCCTCTCTAATTGTTTCAACAAAAACGAATGGTCTGGAATTATTTACGAAATTACAAATACGAAAACATTCAAATTCTTCGAATTGTAATTAGCAAATCTTGAAATGTTTTACTCGAAATGACAAAGAAATTTATTATTTTCCGAGCGCTTAAGTAGATATATGCGTATTATATGTTTCTCTTTTGTTTGTTAACTTAATTACTGTTCATATTGGTGTACTTCAACCACTATATCAAAGGTATCCAATATCACACTTGAAGTAGCCAATTTTCCGGCGCAATGAACCATTCCCACTATCACATTGATATGTCGAGACTTAAGATTATTTTCTATAAAGAAATAGATATCTGACAAGTTAATGCAGTCCCAGTGAATTGTTAAACAATTGGAAATTCTAAAATGTGTTTTTTTTTTATCAACTCGTAAGTGAGTCATTTATTTCCTTGTAGATGTAGGTAAAGATCAAGTAACATCAGATGTGCTCGTATGCCTTCGTATTGCATAAAAAAGGTTTGTCAAATTTTCTTTTTAAACACTGGCTCTTAAACTGCGTAAATTTTAAAAATATGATTTAACATAATGCTAACAGCATTTATAAATTTTATTCAACGCACGAAATCCCCTGACGATTTTAATCTACCGAATATGTGAGTGACGTCACGTTCCCATCAATAATATGCTGACGCGTGTAGACATGAGGCTGAATTTAATTTCGGCATGTAGATTGGATATTAAATATTCTGATATATTTGAAGGGCTATCGATAGTACACAATAACAACTTGTTATTTTAATTACGTCACAATCTATATAACAATCAACTACCGAAATATGACTGAAGAGAATGTTTCAGTTTTAGACAATTTTTGATTTTTTATACATTAACTGTCAAAGTGCGTATTGTACGTCAACGGTGAGAAGCAGTTAGCAATGTGTAGTTCATACATTTGTATCGTTCTAGACTATGCACGTTGCGAGTGACACGGCTGCGAGTGTGCGGCGCGCTGGGCGAGGCGGGCGGCGGCGCTGCTGGCGGCGCTGGCGCTGGCGCGGTCACCTTGGCAGCACGCATGCACAGCAGCAAGCGAACGCTGCGCTCAAACGATATCGCTGTGCCGCCACTCGATGTCGAGCTCGATCTCTGCTTCTCCCTGCAGTACCCGCACTTCGTCAAGCGTGATGGCAACAGGTTAGCACGGTCATAGAGTAGATAGGCAACAAACACCATAGAGTAAACTCATATTCTATGCCTATACAGCTTGATTGGAAAACATTGTTTTCACGGTCATCGGTACAGAGACAGTTGTAAAACACCAATAATCCTTTACAAATAGTAATTTTAATATCTATAGTAAAGTATTTTTATCGTAATTTCCAGATTGCAAATAATGCTGCAGAGGCGCAAGAAATACAAAAATCGCACAATACTCGGATACAAGACTTTGGCTGAAGGAGTCATCAGGATGGACCAGGTAAACCTTTATTACCACATTTTAAAGTAACCGTAGGTTTACTGACCAAACACGTATGTTTTTGGAAAGGTTCGGCAATGATTCACGGGCACCAGTTACTACAGGCTTATCACGTTCCCATATCGAAAAGTCAACGTTGAAGCAATTTTCCCACTGGGATTAATTGAAGCAAATCCAGCAGTACTTGTGTGCTGTTAACAAACCGTATCACGAGGGCCAATTACCCGCGCATTGATGTCGTGTGAATCATTTTATCAACGCCCATCGCTCAACATATCTAGTACAATTGAATTTATTAAAAAAACGACAATTACAGATTACAATTAACGATGGTTCTTTGAATCGTATTGTGATTCCGTTAAGTCATTATATTATTTTCTAAGATTAACGACTTTGACTTTACATGGAATAAACAGCCTTTTTATTTTATTTTTCTTTATTTTATAAATGACTTTATTACATCTGCAAGGTTAATTAGAATTATTTAATGATAATGTCATAAAAAGTTATCGCGAAAAAGTAGTGAAGTTTTTCAGAGCCTACTGTCCAATATATCATGTCTGTGTACATTTGTGAGCCATCCATTGCGCGTTT